GATACTCATCAAACACACTCTATTCTCTTTTGGTTCATATATCCCATGTCATGTTTGTGGTTTCCAAAACAACTTCGTCACAAGATTAGCATGAAGACGGTCAATTTCTTCTGGGGGTCCTTTGGAAATAATCATAAGGCACATTTCTTAAACTAGGATGATCTCAGTGCTCCAAGGGACAAGGGGGGACTGCAATTCATGCACATTGAGTTGCTCAATACAACGCTCCTAGCAAAACATATCTGGCAAATCACATTGATACTAGAGACTCTCTGTTAAGTTACATTATGCAGGAAAAATATTTACTTGACCAAACGAGTTTTGTTTTTAGACTTGCATATAACAGCTTCGCTCGTTGGAAACAAATTCTCAAGGCCAACCCCTTCGTTTTTGACCACTTGACCTGGCAAATTTGGGATGGTACATCTATCCCACTTAATCATCGGTTTTTGTGGCCTATGCAACAATCTAGTCAATCTTATCCTTCAATAAAGGTGTCTAATCTTATTGAGCCTAAGAGGACAATGGAACATTCAACTCCTCTCCTCTCCTCATCTTAAGCAGGTGGTTCTCTTCCGATATCCTATATCTCAGCAACTCAACAAAGGATCGCATAAAATGGACTGGCCATTCTTCTGGCCTTTACACAATTAAAGAGTGATATCACTTGCTTCTTCAGAACTTTACACTTGCTCGACTTCACTCTCAAAGTTCTTCCTTTACTCATTTTTAGACAATGCTGTTGAAAACTCCTTTACATCCAAGACTCAAATTATTTGTGTGGCAACTTGTTCGATGTATGATCCCTACTTCTACCTTTCTCAAGCAACATCATCTTTGTAACTCGGAGGCATGTACTTTGTACTTTCTATTCTTCCTCTAACGAATCGATTTAACATCTTTTTCTTTAGTGTCCTCTTGCTCGAGCGTGTTGGTTTGGCTTCTTATTGGGGATTAGGATAGATTCTACTTCTCATTCGAGCATGTTTCAGTTACTTAATTTCTGGTGGACAAACTTTTAATGACTCTATTACCATTGTTTTTCACTTACCTTTTCAAATGTTAGAGTCATTGTGGTTTGTTATAAATCAAATCTGCCACACAGGAAAGCGCTTCCTTCCTAAGCAGGTCATTTCTATGGCTTCCGCCAAAGCTTTCATGGCCGTTGAGTCACCTTCATCACTTTCTTTAAACAAGACACATCAAACTCATGCAGACACACCCAGCCCCTTCTCCTAGCGTCTCTTGCGTTCTATCAATTATATCCATTGGAACATGCTATTCAACCTCACAAGAACAAGTGATAATAAGTGAATCATTCGAACTACCATCCTTTTCAATTCTACGGAACTTTCATTCCTTTTTTTTTTTTTTGGGGTAAACTTATAAAACCATGTCATGCTAAGGTCATCATGCTAGATATTAACACCCCTTGGATAATTTCCTACCTATTGCAGGATGTTAAAGCTCTTCTAACATGGTTTATTTGTTACTACTTACATTAATGCGAATTTATGTTTTCATTAAAAAAAATATTGTTCATGTCGATTTTAATTTAGTAAAATATTATTCATATTTGCATTTTTTTTTTTTGGCCAACGCATATCTACAAGTTTAAGGCTTGGTAATAATTTACAAGTCTTCGATGTTAAATGTTATTACGCATATATATATATATATACTCCTCCGGTCCTTAATATAAGACCCATTTAACTAATTTGATTAAATTAAGGAAGTTAGATAAGTTAGTTAATTATAAGAAATATGACACATTTTTCCTAAAACACCACAATCATCTTTCTTAATACCTTATCTCCCTCTTTTACTTGATTATGGTTGAGAGAGTATTTATAGGGGTAATTTAGAGAAAATTGATAAATATGATAAATGGGTCTTATATTTAGGACCAAAACCAACTCAAGAATTGGGTCCTATATTAAGGACCGGAGGAGTATTTATATATGTGCTAAAGAAGCTTTAAATATCTTTGCTTTAAATATCTTTGTATATTAAATATATCTATGCATATTTAAGGGTGTGCTGTTAGTTAATTATTAGTCATTATCTAATTATTAATTTAAATAACTCAAACAAAATAAAAAAATAGAAAATTTTCTTCTTTTTTTTTTTTTTTGCCAACAATAGAAAGTTAAACTAAACACAACCAAATCAACAACCATGCTCAGCTGATTTGTAGTTCAGCTGAGTCAAAATAAACAACCCGAATATTGAGGCAAGAAGATATATATAAATCTATCATTTTAGTAGATGAAAAAATATTGATTTAAAAATACTTTCAAAATTAAAAAATATATATTTACTATTATCAGTTTCTAACATTTCCATCAGTCTCTCAATTCCATGGATCTCGATCTTTTCTCTCATTCACTGCTTTATTTGATCTGGTCATTGAAATATTTTTGCTTCATTCTACTGCCAAAGATATACCGACTACTGAGGTAAGAAAATATAAATATTTTATTTTAATTGATGAAATATATATTAGAAAATTCTTCTAGGTGAAAATAAAAGAACAAGTGAAGTAAAAGATTTACTATCATTAATTTCTAGTGTTATTGACAGTCTCTTTGATTCCATGGATCTCGCGCTTTTATCTCATTCAACGCTTTATTTTTCAATGTATAACAGGTTGATTTGGTCATTCCAATATTTTTGCTTCATTCAATTACCAAAACTATCCTTCCCATACTTTTAATAAATATTGATTATCTAAATAATTGAGGATAAGGTTTTGTAATTAACTACCAAATTTTTTAATTTTAATCATTAAAAGAAAAGGCAAAAGAATAGATTTCTGCAGGGGAAAAGAAATAGGTTCTTGAATACTTTTACTTTTTTGTTTTCATTTGGCCTTTTCATCTCTTCCCCTAACTTTCTTTAAAATTCTAAAGAATTAGGACAAAGAAAGAACATTTCTTCATGGTAACAAAAATTATTCCTATATTGTAAAATAGACAAGGATCAATTTCGATGATTTTTGGAAAATAAATTTAAAACTTTGTATTCGATTAATTATCACTGGCTGGCATTTTTATATAATAAAAACATCACTAAATTAAAACAATTAATTTAAAGGTCCTTATAGTTTGTTTTAATTTCAAATAAGATTCTTGTAAGTCATTTCGTTCGAATTATGTCTTTGTCATTTAATCACATAATTTTAATTTATAGATTATTTATAGAAATACAACGGTGTTAAATAAAAGGAAGAAAATTTCATAAAAATCCATGAACTTTTATAAATTGAAGTTAATGAGTTTAACGAGTTTTACACTTAAAGATTAATATCTATAATGGATCAAACTATAAGGACATAATACCTGATTTAAAATTGACGTAAATTGTAAGGACATATGGATTAATTTTCTCTTAAATAACTGAAATATTTTCAATATAATGAAATAGATGCCAAGAAAATATATCAACACTATATGGGCTTTTTTTACGTTGAACAAAATAAACATGCTTTAAATTTTTTTTTACAGTAGAAAAATAAGTATTCAATAAATTCCATGTAGATAAAAATATTTGCTATAAGCCAAAAATGGAAGCCACTTGAGACAACAAGATGACATGGAGAGGATAAGGTTCAATTAATCCATGATCTGCTGCCATCCAAGATGGCATCAACATAAAACCAATTAAATTATTTTCTCCACTGAATAAATAAATAAATATGAAAAATAAACAATGCTACAAACGGATGTTGTGGACCCCATTACGATAAAATGTTAAGAGAAGGAAACTGGGGACCAAAAATCCAGTGGTGGGTAATACAGTATATGACATTGTATTCAGGTAAAATGACGAACCGAGACTCATAAAAAGTATATAATCTGAATTAAAGATAATAAATTTTAAAAATTTTAAAAATTAAGTTAAGGACCAGAGGACCTAAAATCAATTAAGTTAAAAATATTATATCCTTTAATGATACACTTGATTTAAAAAAAGAGGAATATGCGTTTAAAAAATGAATTTAATTTTGGGATTTTATAATTGGGATTTAAATAAAACAGTCTTTTTATTTTTTATTCTTATTACTTTTTTACATTGAAAAAGTAATAAGAATGAGTGGTGTTAAATTTTTTACCATCGAGTTATTTTTTCGCAAGACCTCCCCTATAGTATCTTCATTGCAATAGAGTTTAGCCACTAAACTGGGGACAGTTCATTATAAATAGAGAAAATACATGTGATAAATTTTTTAAAAAATTAATATAATTTGTAAAATATTACATACTCGTTTGATTCTATTTATAAGATTGAAAGAGTATTGATGACAAAAAGAAAGATAGAAAATATATATTTTTGTTATATCTATAAGTCACATTAAATGTATAACTGTATTATGCACGAAAACAAACAGTTCAAATATACACTAAATATGAATAAATGGCAAAAAAAAAATATGAATAAAATTTAAAAAATTATTAAATTTTAAAATAATTTAATGAAATTTAATTTTTTTATTCTAGTAAAACGTGTAAGAAATACTTTATAAATAAGATTAGAGGGATAAAGTTTAGAAAATAGATTCATAATCCCAGTTTTCAAAGTTTTTAATCATGAGAAACAAGGACTTAAATATAATTTATAAAACTATAAGAACTGAATTAAAATTAATAGAAACTAATGGGCCAAATGTATGACACATTTTCTTTTCAAAAATCTACTTTAACAAAGTAAATATTTCTGTTATGGTCCCCCTTTCTGAAAAATCCAACAATGGATATATATTTCACAAGGGCCCATGCCTTTATTTATTTTCTGTTCCTACTTAGGCCAATCATATTCATATCCAAACACAGACAGAAGAAAATCCACGTTTGTGCCACTCGAGATATATGCACATTTTGCCGCCTTCTAATTTCTTCTTCCCCACATTGGGGTTTCCGAATTATAATTATTTAATTAAGTAGGTCCTACTTATTTTTCAAGGGAAAATTGAAAATTTGAAATTGGAAGGGGAGGGGCATTTTTGTAAGCGAGGGCAGTTTTCCAGGCAGTTATGGTCTTCGAAAATCAAGCAAAATCTTTTGCCTCAAATTTGTGATTATGAAACAGCTGTGCCACAATCAAAATTTAAAAGGACATGAAATATAGAGATTCTGTGTGAGTGAGAAAGAGAGGGGGATATCAGGGCAGAAGTCATTCACAGAGAGTGTGTCGAGAGAGAGGGAGAGAGAGGGAGAGCCATTGCCTCAACTCTTTTCACTGGGAAAGAGGGAGGGAGAGGAAAAAAAACAATTTTTGTTATTTGGGTCTTCTTCTTTTTTTTCCCTGTTATAATCATTTCTCTCTCAAACTTTAAAGTTTTGGGTTGAACAGATTTTAAAGATGGCTGCTTGAAGCACTTGGTGAAACACACTGTGCCTCCTTCTGTTTTATGGGTATTGGGTATGTTTTGCAAGTTCAGAATTTCAAGGGCCAGCTTCAATTCCTAGTTCGCTAATGTTGTGTATTGTTCTTAGAAATTGCTGTGTTCTCACTCTCTCCTTTGGAGAGTTCATGTCTGTTCAATGCTTGTTTGATTTTTGTGATGTCATTTCAGTTATCCTCGTTACCCATTTCTGAATTACATGGGTTGTCATTTCTCCGCGCATTTAAGATTTCATTTGGGGATTTGAGAGGGAATTCAGGCAAATTTACTGCACTTTTTATCTATAACTAGATTCATATGATAACATAGGGTAGCTTTTGCTGGAGTACTCAAAATTTTCAAGACATGTTGAATCCCTTACCAAATATTTCATTGTGATTGATTGATCTTTCCATTTTTCTGGCAATCTTCAGTTTTTGGCTTGTTTTCTGATAACCTTGATTTGATTCATCTTCTTGTGGTAGGATATATTTGCAGTGATTAGGTACATAATGGATATTTCAGACTACACAAGAATTGTTTTGGATAAGATTCAGAAATTTGAACCAGAAAATGCCACAAAGATCATTGGCTATCTCCTTTTACATGACCTTGGAGAGCAGGAATTGGCTAAATTAGCTTCATGCCCTGACCATATGATACGCGAAATCGCGTTTAAGGCCAAAACCGAGGTACAAAATTTGGCTGCTAAATCTGTCATACTTTCAAGCTCACCTCCTATTAACCCTCAACCAAGCCACTTACCCATAATCTCCCCAAGAACGACTACTCCATCAAGCTTTCAGGCTCATACCCCTAACTTTTGGGAGGCACAGGCAGCTAACAGTGTTAACCCAGAGTTTATGTCAATGGGTTACATAGATTCAATTCCAGAACTTCAGAAGCAGAGCCAGCTTTTGTGTGCAGAGAATCATATAGATCCTTCTAATGCTGGGGCTGTAGGGATTGGCAATGATTACTTTAGCTTAGATGCTTCAAATTTGAATTTCAATGGAAAATCTGGTAGGAGGTTTGGTGTGTCTGAATTTCCCGTCAAGACATGTCACTATTTCAACAAAGGATACTGTAAGCATGGAAGTAGTTGTAGATACTATCATGGACAAGTTGCAGCTGAGAACTTCCCTCAGATAAATGGGAATGGTGATGATCAAGGAGGATTGTCGGGCTCGCTTGCGCAGTTAGAGGCAGAACTTATTGAGCTTCTAAGGCCAAGGAGAGGCAATCCTATTTCCATTGCTTCCCTTCCAATGGCATATTATGAGAAATACAAAAAGGTGCTTCAGGCAGACGGTTATCTAACTGAGAGCCAGAGACATGGTAAATCGGGATATAGTTTAACAAAGCTTCTTGCACGGTTGAAAAATAGTATACGACTAATAGACAGGTGAATTCTTCTCTATCCTGACATAATTGTTATTCAATAAGTTTATGGATAATTTGTTTCTCCAATGTGACTTGTTCCTTCTGGTTGATTCACAGACCTCACGGGCAGCATGCTGTGGTTCTGGTGGAAGATAGGTACTTGGAAAGAGGAGATCCCAGTCAAAATATAAGCGCATCAAGACAAATATATTTGACATTTCCAGCAGATAGCACTTTCACAGAACAGGATGTCTCAGACTACTTCAAGTAAGTTAAAATTTGTTATATTTTTGCATTGTCATGCTTTCTTCACAGGTGAGAGATTCGTGTCAGCAAACTGATTTCACTCCCCTGCATTTGTAGTTCCTTTGGGCGGGTTGAAGATGTCAGGATTCCATCCCAACAGAGAAGGATGTTTGGTTTCGTGACATTTGTTGATCCAGAAACTGTTAAAATGATATTGGAAAAAGGAAATCCTCACTATGTACGTGGCTCACGTGTGCTTGTGAAACCTTACCGGGAGAAGTCAAAGCTTATAGACAGGTATAATCCCTGACATTCCCCCCCCCCCCCCGGCTTGAACAAAAAGTTGTTGATTTTATTGTTTCACATCCTCATATGAACCAGAAAGTTAAACTATTTTAACTAAGATCACCAATCAAAGCTAGTTTTTCCAGAATAAAGCATTAAATGATTAGCATAAGTAATGCAAAATGTGAAAATGAATGAATCTAATAATGTGTCACCAGTATCAACAATAAGATTCTTCATGTTATTGATTCTTCGTTCCTTTGTTCCTCCTTCCTGGATCAGCCCTTGCACTCAAAACGTTTGATAATATGTTGAATTGTTGAGACCTGGGAAGATTCTCTTATGTCATCGGACAAATGCTGTGACTATTCATTCTTTTCATGAGTCTTTCATTTGATATAGGAAATATTCAGAAAGAGTTGAGCCTCCGGTTGTTTGTTCACCACATTATGTAGACATGGACTTTGAAGCTACCCCAAGTGAGTTTGGTATTTTCCCTGAATTGAAACTTGGAGTCTAATATGTTATGGTTAACAACATAATCTTAAACCATTCTTGTAGTGCCAAGCTATGGGAACCCTAGATTTCTGAGGAGACAGCTCATGGATGAGCAAGAACAGGTCCTTGAATTTCAGAGACATCTTGCTGAGCTGCAGCTGACCCAAAAACCTCTGTCAAGCTCCCCTCATTTCGGATGCTCCTTGGACCAGTTAAATGTTTCAGAAGGTGTGAAAATGCTGTATCACATATTCCCATGGCTTGTCCTTCTCTTTATATGCCTTGTACCTTTTGTACTTACTGAATCATTTGTCATGCAGATCATTTGAATTTTCATCCTGCAGAATCTCTCAATTATGCTCTAAATGACAAGCCCGGGCATACAGACACCAGTTGTGCCGATGAAGACAGGTACAGATTGACTTTGTATCGGTTTCTCTTGCCCTTAAAGATGCCTATGCTGAAATACATTAGCAATCTCTTGGCTGTCACATAATATTCCACATTACGGTTGATTCTTTTTCATTCATTCAAACCTCTGAAATAATTGATCATTCTTGACTTCCATATCAATTTAACAGATTTCATTTGGTGATTACTGCGAAAATCTGACATTATTCTTCTTGCCCATAGGACTCACCTCCTTCATGTCCATAGAATAAAATTAGCAACTTTTGCCTTCATAACTCTAGAAAATTCTATCTGTTTCCTGATTTACTTCTTCTTGTGTACTCATTCACTGAGGGCAATATTTGTTTTTAAATATGAGTTCTTGCAACTTCGATTTTTCTGACACTTCAAATGCTGCTGTGAATCCTCTCATTTTTCTTTATTTTACTCAGAGGTCAAGGAATCGATCTCCCAGAGAGCCCATTTTCATTTCCAGTAGATAGTGGAATTTCAACAGTCATATAGATTCCGAAGGAAAAGGACTTTGGTACAGTTCTTATCTGTTTGCTATCAAATCTTTCAGTAGAAGTATGATAAGTGGAATGCCATTAAACCATTAGAAAAAAATCCACTTGTTATATTTTTATTAGAAAACTTGAAATCAAGCATCTTATGAACTTTACCTGAATTTTGTCCCCGCAGGAGAGACACAGAGTTAAAATTGCACCAGCCAAAAAAAAAAAAAAAAAAGAGAAACATCTTTAGTTTTGCTTTCTTCCCCCCCAGTTTTCTGAAGCACAGGCCATATCATCAGTTTCCTTTGTCGAGTAGCTCGTCGACTAAGCCTCTGTTCAGCTCCAACAGATACATACTAGCGAAAGAAGAAGAAGAACAAGAAACAAGGAAGAATTTCCTCTTTAGTTCCTGACAATGGGTGTCTGACAAATAGAAATATGATATGATATATGTAAGAATGTTATAGTTTTTTGGGTAATATATCACGAGTTCTACTTGTCAAAAGGCTGAGTTAACAAGACTGTTCTAGATTGTCACTTCAGAGTGAAAGGCTCAATCTTTTGAAATGTAGTGTTCTATAGATGAGTTACCCTAATGTTTTTTAGTTACAGGAAGAAGGCAAAGGGTTTGGTTTTTAGCTAGGAAGATCCTTATGAAGTCATTTAGTATATGAAAGAAACTACATCGTAGTTTTCTTGTTGAAGTATCTTGGAATTTGTGGATCTGGACAGAGATGAACCATTTGAATTACTTACTGATAAAAGTTTTAATAATAATAGCTTACACTACTTCTATCTGAAGTGTTTGTCACTGTCTTACTGATAGACTTTTTGTTCTTATTTGTTTTGTCCCTTCACAATTTTAGTTTCATTTTATGTTTACACATTTTAAATAGACTTTTGTTGATCTCTTATCTGTGTTTTAATATTGAATCAAGCCTATGGGTTGATAGACTTTCTAAGTCTCATTATTGTTTATAGTTGTAAGCAATTGCACACTTTCTTCCCCCCCCCCCCCCAATATATAGTTACATGATATCAGATACTACCGAGTTAGATTCATGTATTGTCAAATTCAATTAGAAGTATTTTTCAAACCATTAACACGACAGTATGTTGATTTTATAATTGATATTGATGACACTTCATCCAATTCTAAATGAAAGGGCTAATAGAATGTTTGTTTTGATCCTAAATGTTGGATTATAACTTATTTTAGTTTTCTAATTTATAATTTTTTCTGATATTCTTCCTATTACTTGCACGTATGTTGATAGACTTTTCACCAAGAAAGTAGTTTTCAGAACAAATAATTAGAAAGAGGTATTGTAGGAAAATTAATATATTTTTTTATAAATAACTAATTTAACTAATTTTAATATCTGCAAGTTAATTTTCTAACTTCTACATTTAGGACTTATTGAGTACATGTGAATATGTACTTTAATTTTCTTGTCTTCCTATCTCTAACATTATTTCGTCTTGTAAAGCTTATTTCTTCTAAATTTTCATGCTATTGAACAAAACTTCATAAACCAAAAGCAGATTGTATCTAAGAAAATAGAGATCAAAGAATAAGCTTATCTACAATACATGGACAGTATTCAATTGTACGAGGATGATGACAATATATTTGAAAAACCCTAAATTTGTTTTGATTGTTTCAATCCCAAATAGGGGCAACGGATATTAAATTGGGCGGGCCATAATTTGACAAAGACAGTGATTAAATGCTCTCATTGTTAGAAAGTGACATTCATTTAATATTGCCATTGTAATTATAGTACAATGAGGCATGGTTTAATCCTTGTTAAAATAAAAAACAATGGACCAAACGGAACAAAATGAAACTGCAAAGTAGCATCAAATTAAGTACATTACTGGCTTTGATTTTTTTTTTTTGAAAAAAATATGCAAATGAATAAACCATACTCCATCCAGTCTCAAATAAATGTGATGATGCCTCATCAAAATTGAGAAAAATAGTTAAAATATTAAGTTCATTAAATTTGTCACAAACTAATTTTTTTCCCAAAAAAACCCATTTAATGATTAAAATACTACATTAGATTAATGGTCCTTGAAAATTTTCTTTATCTTTTTAGACCCAAAAAAGCTTCTTCTTCTTCTTTTTTTTTGGTTAGGCACGGATATCTTTTTATTAGAGGTAATCTTGTTCAAAACATTATCAGGCACTAAATATGAGTATCTCTACCAATAGAGATTCAAAACCCTAATATGTCACATTATGATAAACTAGTTATTTTCGCTATACTTCCGTTAATAACCCAGAAAAACTTAATACTACCTCCATTCCTTCATATAAGACTTTTTTGACTTTTATTTGGTCCTAAATATAAGACCCCAATCCACTTTGTCTCTCATATTTATGTATTTTTTTTCCAAAGTAATCCTTCTAACAATGGTAGTTTTAGATAACAAACTTGATTAACAAGGATATTTTAGAAAAAACCAACACATATTCATTACAAATAACTAACTTAACTAAATCCTTAATCTCTCCAAATTAGTCAACTGGGTCTTATAATTAAGACTGGAGGTAGTATTTCAAATATTGGAATGAGTGACTTACAATTTGGGCCACCTCAATCTTCTCCCTCACGCCGTATATATGGGACTGGACAGAGTACAAGTTAAAGCAAGGCCTTGTTTTATTTTTATTTTTTTTATAAGCACCTTGTTTTAATTACATACACACATTGGGTTATTTATAACTATAATTTTATTTATTAACATTGTTTTAGTTTAATCTTTCAATATTTTCGAAATTTAATTAAAATTTTAATTTTATTTTGTTTCATTCGTATAATTTTATCATGTTTTAATTTGCTTTATTCCAGGACGTTCATACAAGAGAGAAGGATTTCTTTTGCACTACGCCCAAATCAAAACATTCTATAAGCTATAACTTTCTGCCCTCCATGGGTTGAGATGTGAGGCCCACTAACTTGTGCATGCCCCCAAGAGCCGAAGGTTGGGTCCATGACTGCTTCTTAAAGCTCAGTACATGTAATGGGCTCTAAGTAAGCTAGGGGCCCAAGCTTTTGTAGGCCCAACCCAAAGACTTGTTCGTTTCTTTCACCATGAATTATCTATGTTAAATTTCCTCATGTGACCAATGAGGATTGGGTCCAATAAAAGAGATTAGTTCCTCACGATATAGTGAATCAAAAATAAAATCCCTATTAGGAGAGATGCTGACGTTTAGTGTCTGACGGTACATCAAATAAGATTACCTCTAATAGGAGGATACCTATACTTTAGCCAAAAAAAATTTGAATCTTGTATTTAGTATTCAATAGTATCTTGAATAGGGTTACTTCCAATAGGAGAATACTTGTACAAAAAAAAAAAATTCCTCATGTGCATCTAATGAGAGTTTGACAAAATGGGCTAATTTTTTATAACATGGTGAATCAATATTTGAATATTTGTTTTGAGAGCCTTATATTTAATGACATTTCAAATAAGATTATTTTCCCAAAAAAAGGATATCTATACACTAACAAAAGAATATGTGCACCCTATCTCTAGCTTTTCCTCCTATTTTTTAAAATCAAAAGCAGCCAGTGACAAAATAGACTCTCAAAATTCATGGGATTGTGTTAATGGAATTGGGATCCATGGCGAGCATTGATAATTGGACCAAACATGCTTGGATAGGGGAAAAACGTGATTTTAGATAATAGATTTTTCCAAAAACTGATCAATCTAACTTTTTTAAAATTCTTGATTTTACCCCTCCCACCCATGGTTTCTAGTTCAATAATCACTTTCTGATTTTTTTTTTTTTTGCGATGTTTGGATGAAATTAAATAAAATTATGGTTTTCTCTCCAAACTATGGTTTTGGGCAGCATCCAAACACAAAAAGAGAATGTTGATTATAATTGTGTAGTTTTCCAATGCCTTTTTTTTCTTTTTTCTTTTTTTTAATTCAATCTAAAGATCAAAATCTATGTATTTTTTATTAAGCAACTAATTATCAAAATTATGGTTGATTTTGGTCCAAATTCTTACTATTATAGACATCATTGCCACATTGACCCCCTTAATTGCTGCATCGATAATACATCATCTCAAGATTTTAGAGCTCTTCGACCGAAATTTTAAGGACTAATTCATTAATTGGAAAAAAAAACACTATAAAGACCTTGACAAAAAATAGATTTTAACCAAAATTGACTGCAACTCTAAAGATTAATTTTTTTTATAACTAAAAAAGGAATCAAGAAATCAAATAATTAAATATGTGAGAGTGCAAAATTCAGTTTTTCGTTCTCTTTATGTGAGTGTGCATGTGAACATGTTGAATATAATATATTAATTGAAAAGCAGCCCTTGTGTTTATTTTATGTAAGTAAATTTTAAGCAGTCTTAATTACTACTGCCTTTATATTTACAAAATTTTGTTTCCCAATTAATTTTCCAAATTGCAAGTTCCTGAGCTTAATAATATCATTGTACTTCAGGGTCAAATATATATATATATATATAATTGTACTGCATAATTTATTAATTGACTCACTTATTGCATTTTATTATTCCATAGTTTGAGTAAAAAGTCTATTCCGCCAGCAAATCTTCAAAAGAATCAGTAAACCATATCTGCTGACTTATGATTCCCCACTTTGGACTAGAAGTCTTCACTTAATTTTCCTTCAATTTCTTTCTTTTTTAAATTTCTTTTTTGTACTGACTTTGAAAATGTTTGCATACCCGTCTTCGTCACCTTCAAAACATGTTACACGAGTAGTATAATTTAATTATCTCAAATATTTGTGTAGATATATTAGGCTTGCTATAATTATTAGATTGAGTTGGTTGGTATGGATGGCGCAGAAAAGTATGACATTAATTTAGTGATAAATAGTGCTATAATCTTGGAAGCTGCATTCTTTTTTATCCCAACTATTTTAGCTTTGAATTTGAATTCATATGAAAAGCCACCAATTTAGACTTTGTGTGTTATCACCAGTGATATTGTGAAATATTAACATAAAAGAAGACAATATATAATAATTTAAAAAGTAACTTATATGCACAGAATTTTATGGGTTATCCACATATAACAAGATTCTTCTTTTTGACAAAATTACACCAAGTTCTCTAATAATAAGATATAACTTAGTCAAAAGTTACAGAACTCATATCGCATTATGGGTTCCTTTCTTTGAAATACAGAAAGGTGCTAAGTCTTTTGGGCTAACTCTTGACTCGGCCAAAGAAAAGGTGATACTGAGAGCCCTAAGAATGTTAAAACTAGCCATTGGGCTTCAAGTGGCGGCTATAACACATGGTGTGAAACAACCAAACCTCTCACAATTACATCTTAGCACAATCTAGTACGATTCCATATGCATTTCAAATCTCATACAATCCAATGTCCATAAATTGTTATCATATTTCAATACTAATATTGTTCAGCATCAACAACAAAATCTCAAAATAAATAATTCATGCCCACTTAACTAATTTTATCAAAACATAAATTTGATATTTTTATTTCACACTTTTCGTACATAAAACACTATGACATATAATGATAATATTTCTAATATTAACATATGTTTATAATCACATCAACAAGTATATAAGGTAAATTAGAGAGTAGTTACTTCAAATTCTTAACACAAGAACTAAATTGAGAGGATTCAAGACCCAAGAGCCCAAACCAATTCACTCTACAATGATAAATTTATAAACATATATTAATAAAAATGTTAACTAATGTAGTAATAATTACCTAGTGGTTAAATTTTCATAATTGGCTCATTAAAATTCTTTACGT